CTCTCAGTCATGAAACTCCATGCCAGCTCCGGATCGTACACTGCCCGCGACACCTGACCGCCAGCGTCTGCGAAGGTAAGCGCCTCCCTGTGCTCCAAGACTGCCCGCGCGTCTGTCAATGGCCCTAGAGCGCTCCAAGACTGCCAGAAAGCCACCTGGAAGAACCAGGAGCGCTCCAAGAGGACCCCCAAGATGACTCGGGGATGGGCCGAGGGCCCCTTAGACCGCCACAGAAGCCCCCGAGACAACCCAGAAAGGCTCCAGGACCGCAATAAAACGGTCCCGATTCAATGAAGGAAATGCTTGCGTGTCTTCAGGTGCCTCCCCCCTCGCCCCGGCTGGACACAACTCGAAGGAACATTGTACTCTGACCCTGGGCCGAAGACCAGATGCATATCTTGATGGACCTCCAGAGGTCGGAAGACACTGCCCTTGTGAAAGCGGCCACTCGGGACCGCTGGGGCTCTGTGGGGCCCTCCTTGGGCCGTCTTGGGATTCGCTCGGGCCATCTGGAATCCTCCTTGGGCCAATTTGCGGCCAAATTCGGCACACCTTCTCGTTGTGAAGAAACCGGCATCACTCTCCCGCGACTTCCAAAAAGCTGTGGTACACGGTACCTCGAGGGGAAAAAAAAAAAGGGGTCGGCGGATGTGGCGTAAGCCTATAGAATCAACGAATCGACACCGGATGTGTATTAACTTGACACGTTCTGAGAGGGGGCCTCCTGGGGCCTCCTGGGAGCCTCCTGGGAATCTCCTGGGAGCCCCTGGGGCCTGTCCTGGGCGTCCTGCGACCTTCTGAAGCTCTCTGGGGCCTCCTGGGAGCCACATGTGGTCTTCTGGGCCTCCAGGCTGGACCACCTCTTGCGCAGCATCTGAGAGCTCAGAGTTGCGAGAATTTCTTGTGCGAAAAGGGCCGGACCACCTTGCGCGCGGCATCTCAGAGCTCAGATTTGCGAGGATGTCTCAGGCGAGATGGGCCAGACAACCTCGCGCACGGCATCTCGGAACCCAGGGTTGCGAGGATATCTCCAGCGTGACGGGCTGGACCACCTCGCGCGCGGCATTTCGGACCCCAGAGTTGCGACGATGTCTCGGGCGAAACGTGCTGCGAGGAAGTCTCAAGCGAAACGGGCCGGACCACCTCGAGCGCGGCGTCTCAGAGCTCCGAGTTGCGGGGGCCTCATGGTGCCTCCTGGGGCCTCCTGGTGACCTCCTGAGGCTTCCTCCTGCGCCTCCTGCGGCCTCCTAGACCCCACCTGGGGTTTCCTGAAGCCTCTTGGGGCTCCCAGGGGGGGGTATCTAACATGTGGCCGTCGGGCCCTCCAGGAAAAGTCAACGAATCGACACCGGATGGGTATTAACTCGACACGTTCTGATAAGGGGCCTCCTGGGGCCTCCTGGGAGCCTCCTGGGAATCTCCTGGCGACCCCTGGGGCCTGTCCTGGGCGTCCTGCGACCTCCTGAAGCTCTCTGGGGCCTCCTGGGGTTCCCAGGGTCCCAGGGGGGATATGTAACATGTGGTCTTCTGGGCCCCCAGGCTGGACCACCTCTTGCGCAGCAGCTGGGAGTTCAGAGTTGCGAGGATGTCTTGTGCGAAACGGGCCGGACCACCTTGCGCGCGGCATCTCGGAGCCCAGGGTTGCGAGGGTGTCTCCAGCGTGACGGGCTGGACCACCTCGCGCGCGGCATTTCGGACCCCAGAGTTGCGAGGATGTCTCAGGCGAAACGGGCTGGACCACCTCGCGCGCGGCATCTCGGACCCCAGAGTTGCGACGATGTCTCGGGCGAAACGTGCTGCGAGGAAGTCTCAGGCGAAACGGGCCGGACCACCTCGAGCGCGGCGTTTCAGAGCTCCGAGTTGCGGGGGCCTCCTGGTGCCTCCTGGGGCCTCCTGGTGACCTCCTGGGGCTTCCTCCTGGGCCACTTGTGGCCTCCTGGACCCCCCCTGGGGTTTCCTGAAGCCTCTTGGGGCTCCCAGGGGGGGATATCTAACATGTGGCCGTCGGGGAAAAGTCAACGCATCGACACCGGATGTGTATTAACTCGACACGTTCTGATAGGGGGCCTCCTGGGAGCCTCCTGGGAATCTCCTGCGGACCCCTGGGGCCTGTCCTGGGCGTCCTGCGACCTCCTGAAGCTCCCTGGGGCCTCCTGGGGTTCCCAAGGTCAAGGAGGATATGTAACATGTGGTCTTCTGGGCCCCCAGGCTGGACCACCTCTTGCGCGGCATCTGGGAGCTCAGAGTTGCGAGAATGTCTTGTGCGAGACGGGCCGCACCAACTTGCGCACGGCATCTCAGAGCTCAGAATTGCAAGGATGTGTCAGGCGAGACGGGCTGGTGTCTCGGGCGAAACGCGCCGCGAGGAAGTCTCAGGCGAAACGGGCCGGACTACCTCGAGCGCGGCGCCTCAGAGCTCCGAGTTGCAGGGGCCTCCTGGTGCCTCCTGGGCCTCCTGGGGACCTCCTGGGCTTTCCTCCTGGGCCTCCCGTGGCTTCCTGAACTCCACCTGGGGTTTCCTGAAGCCTCTTGGGGCTCCCAGGAGGGATATCTAACCTATGGCCGCTTGGGCCTCTCAACATGGAGGGGGGAAGGGGGGGGCACAAGAGCAGGAAAAATCAACGAATCGACACCGGATGTGTATTAACTTGGCACGTTCTGATAGAGGGCCTCCTGGGGCCTCCTGGGAGCCTCCTGGGAATCTCCTGGCGACCCCTGGGGCCTGTCCTGGGCGTCCTGCGGCCTCCTGGAACTCTCTGGGGCCTCCGGGGGCTCCCAGGGAGGATATGTAACATGTGGTCTTCTGGGGCCCCAGGCTGGACCACCACTTGCGCAGCATCTGGGACCTCAGAGTTGCGAGAATGTCTTGTGCGAAACAGGCCGGACCACCACGCGCAGTGCATTTCAGAGCTGAGAAGTTCGAGGATGTCTCAGGCGAGACGGGCCGGACCACCTCGCGCAGGGCATCTCAGAGCTCAGAAATTCGAGGATGTCTCACGCGGGCTCCCAGGGTCCCAGGGAGGATAACAGGCCGGACCACCTTGCGCACGGCATCTCATAGCTCAGAGTTGCGAGACGGGCCGGACCACCTCGCGCACTGCATCTCAGAGCTCTAGAAGTTCGAGGATGTCTCATGCGAAACGGGCCGGACCACCTCGCGCAGGGCATCTCAGAGCTCAGAAGTTCGAGGATGTCTCAGGCGAAACGGGCCGGACCACCTCGCGCAGGGCATCTCAGAGCCCAGATTTTCGAGGATGTCTCTGGCGAAACGGCCCGGACCACCTCTCGCATGGCACCTCGGGGCTCAGAAGTTCGAGGATGTCTCAAGCGAAACGGCCCGGACCACCTCTCGCGCGGCGTTCCGGAGCGCTTCCCTCGGCCGGAGTTAGCTCGTATCACAACAGCACCCCGCTCAGCAAGCTGTTTGCGGAAAAACCGGACCCGCGCAATAGAGCCAACCATCTACCCACAATGCTCCCTTGACCGCTTGATCGGGGGGGGGGGGGCACCTTCTGCCCCGCCGTCCGCGCGACAAACGACGGCCGCGGGGGCGCCCAACACGACGGCGAAAGCCATGTCGACAACCGCAATCAGTACCCGGGCGCGGACGCAGAAGGGAAGCAGACGCTGGGCAACCTGAATCCCGAGCGACAAAGCAGTGAAGCACAACAGGAAAATGGTTCCGCATCAACGTCTATGTGGGCCACGCGTGTGCCCAGGAGGAACGGCCACCTTCACGACCCGCCCGCGCAGGCGTTCAGCGCCGCACACGACCGCGCCTGCACCCGCGCGCGCAGGGACAAACACAGAAAACGTACACAAACGCACACACAGTCACACGCACGCGCGCACGCAAGCACACAATCGCCAACTGTTCCACAGCAACCACGCAGACAGCGACGCGCCCCCCAGAGCACATCATCAGAACCGCGGCCAGCGCTCGGCGCGCTGCCTACAACAGCGAGATCGTCGGGCCACCATCAAATAGCCCAACCGCGCATTCGCGCGCGTGCACGCGCGCAGACCTACACACTTTTGGTATGCGGGGCGAAAGCGAACCTCTCCCGCTAAAAGCTAAGCACGCAGTTCTACACACACGTGGACACACTTTTTTGGTCGCAGCTCTGGCGGACGCGAGCGCGGTCGGACTACGCCGGGGCGCCGACTGAGTTAATTGCGGCATAGAAAAGAAAAGCGAAGCCGCAAAGAAGGAGCATGACAAAGTCCACGCCACGACGTAGCATGGATGGCCAAGCGGTCCTTGCGCAAGGCGTGCACAGTACGTCTACACGACAACTGAAAAGGAACAGTGCAAAGCGATTACACAATACAGGCCCCATCAGTCCAATCTACCCCGGACGGACCCATCAGTCCAATCAGCCCAACTCGCCCAGTCAGTCCCATTCAATCCAATGTCCAACCAGTCAGATCATGTCCAGTCAGTCGCATCAGTTCAATCAGTCGCAATCAGCCGAATCAGATCCAATCGTTCCCATGAGTTCCAATTGTGGAATCAGTCAGCCCGACGAGCCCCATCAGTCCAAGCAGTCCAAGCAGTCCAAACAGTCCCACTCAGTCTCGGTCCAATGACTCCAATCAGTCACCTTATTTCACACATATCCAACCATTCCACTTAGCCACCATTTTGAAACTCACTCAGTCCAATCACTCCAATCAGCCCCACCAGCCCCAACAGTCCAATCAATCCAAGCAGCCCCAATCAGCCCCATCAGTCCGCAAAGTCCAATCAGACCAGTCAGTCAGATCAATCAAAGTAGCCCAATCAGCCCCGCACAGTGCAAACGGCCCAAATCATTTCAACGAGTCCCAATGTTAGGATTCAACCAGTCCAGTCAATCCCATCAGTCCCATCAGTCCAACGAGTCCGATAGTTCCCCACCAGCCCAATCTATCCCGGACAGACCAAGCAGTCCAATCAGTGCAGTTAGTCCAATCAGTCCCACTCAGTCCAATAAATGTCCAAACGGCCCCATCATATCCGTCGGTCCCATCAGTTCACTCAATCGCACTGAGGCCAAGCAGTTCCAATCATTCCCGTTAGTTCTCATTTTGGAAACAACCAGCCCCATGAATCTGATCAGGTATTCAGTCCAATAGCCTGCACAACAGCGCTCGCGAAGATGCCCCGGCACTGACGCGACGAGTGCGGATCGCCGCTCATTCGCGAACGACGCCGGACACGGGTGCGTCGCGCCAGGGGGCGCCAGCTCCTTCAAAATTGGCGATAGCGACGCCCTTCAAAACGCATGCAATCAGTGACCCAACACGCGCACCGCGGCGCAACTTGGCATCACTGCCGTGCCAGATTTCCCCTGCATTCGCCGCGGTAACGCTCTTCTCAGAACCGACAGACAGCAAATCCACAGGCTTGGCGCGGCGCCCCTTCGCAAACGCACCCGCCGGCGCCAACCGCCAATGAATCAACGAACCAAAGAATCAATGAATCAATGAACCAATAAACCAATAAAGCAATGAACCAATAAACCAATGCACCGCCCCGATGCCCTCCACGCGCGGCGTCGCTTGCGAATCCACCAGCATTGTTCCAACCATTGCATCTATTACTCATGAATGCGCACCTCTATGGCGAAGTCGCGTCTCCTCGACGGACTCGCGCGAACGTCGAGTGATAACCACGTTCCGCCACTGGCCTGCTGATCATCAACCTCGCCCGCGGACGCCCCCTGGCGCCCCGCTGTGTCTGCGGGGAACTGGCCCAATGAATCGATGAATCAATGAACCGATGAATCAATGACTCGATGAATCAATGAGCAAAGGGAGCTGCAATTCTGCGTAACCGCAACTTCTGTCGCAGCGGCCCCCCGCTCCGACGCCCGCCGATTACTTTGCTCATGTGCCACGCCTGCGGATGCCACCTGGCACCCCGCTGTTTCAGCGAGTGGCCGAACAAATGAATCAATTAATCAATGAATCAATAGCATTAATACTCTACGCCGGCGCGCGCACAACGCCATGGACTTCCCCGCCGCCTCGCACGCAAACACACAGTGCAGCGCGCGAGAAACGCTCGATGGCGCGAGGGGCCGTGGCCGAGACAGAAAATGAGGGGAAGGAGCAGAAGAGGAGAGGAGAGAAAAGCAAAGCGCACGAGCGTGAACGCTAGTTGACGCACGGAGGGCAATTCCGCACCACGACTGCGGATAATCAAATGACAGGACGACAGACGGGGAGAGCCGCAATAGCGGCGCACAAGAACTGCACTGCCCCCCAAGCGCCCGTGCACCAAAGCGGTCAAGAGCTCGAAAGATCTCATCGTCAGAGGGCTCTGACTCCTAGCCCGAAACCTCCCAAGGAAGAGAGCGGCGGTGCGAGAGGAGTGGGGGAATGCGAAAGAGAGCGAAAAGCGGGAGGGGCCGGGCACACGAATACGTGGCCCGCAGGCCACACCGGCGCGCTGCGCGCACACCCAGACATCCGATGTTGCGTTTATTGTTCAATGCGGGGTCCCCAGACGTCCCAACCCTTTCCCCAGAACCGTTTTTTCATCCTGAATATTCGCTCGACGCTCCCGGGGCCCAGCAAGGGCTCCCGGAGGCCGGAAACAACGAAACACCTCCGCCTGTATTTTTCCCACGACGTCGCAGATCTGAGCCCACCCCTGGCCGCGCGAGATTGCGGGAGCGACCACCCCCGCGCGGATCGCGAGGCGCCGTGCGCCGCGGGGGAGGAGGCCAAGAGTGGCGGAGCGAGCGAGCGAAACCCTGGGACATTGTCCACTGCAACTCGGATCCCTCTGCGAGCGCAGACCCCCGTCAAGCATCAACACAATCAAAAACAGGACCTGGGCAACCTTCAAAGGCGCACTGTCGGTCAGGGCGCCGGGAAGCAGAGGCGGAGGAGAATGCCGAAGGCAGGCCCAACCCTCCCCGCGCCCGCGGGCCGATCACAACCGGAAGCCTTTTCGCCGTCCTCGGCCTCCCGGGGCCCTTCGAAGCCTCAGACGGGCGCTGGGGCCGCCAGAAGACGGATCCAGGACAAAGTACAATTCGACTAAGTTTCTCCCTTGACAACGCCTGGAGGGCCATAAAAAATACGAGTCAACTCCACTGCTCCCTTTGCGACGCCCTCCCCTCAGTCCCTTTCCAACCCTCCCCACCCTCCCCCGCCTCCATTTCCTCTCCTCCTTCCCCTCCCTCACCAACCTCCCCTCCCTCCCGTCCCTCCCTTCCCTCCGCCCCCTCCCCTCCCTCCGCCCCCTTCCCACCATCCCCTCCCTCCACTCTCTCTCGGCCCTCCCCTCCATCCTCTCCATTCCCTCCCTCACCTCCATCCCTCCGCTCCCTCCTGTCCCTCCCCTGCATTCCAATCGATTGTAATCGCATCGATTGCAATTCAACCGATTGCAATCCAATATATTGCATTCCAAACGCTTCCAATCCTATCAAATGCAATATGTTGCAATGCAAACCGTCTCCCCGCCTCTCCCCTCCCCCCCTCCATCCCCTCCCTCCCCTGTCTCACCTCCATCCTTCCACTCCCTCCCCTCTATCCCTCCCCTCCCTCCTGTCCCTCACCCGCATTCAAAACGATTGTAATCAAATCGATTGCAATTCAACCGATTGCAATTGCAAGTGCAATCCATGGCAATACAATCCCCCCCCCCTCTTCCCACCTCCCCCACACGGGCCAGAGGGTGAAAGAGAGGGGAAGCTTCAAGCCCCCCCCCCCTTTTGGCACCAAGGGGGAAGGGGAAGGGGTAGCTTCCGAAGCTCCACCCCCTTTCAAATGGGGGGATGGCGCACCCCGGCTCCATTGCAAGGACAAAGGGGTGGGTGCTTGGAAGACCCCCTCCTTTCCGGCCACGACAAGAGAGGGACGGAGGGGGTAGCTTCCGAACCCCCCCCTTTCAAAAGGGGGGGGGGGCTCACCCCTGCTCCATTGAAGGGAGAGAGGGGGAGGGGAGCTTAGAGGCCACCCCCCCTTTCCGCCAACGAAAAGGGGGAAGGGGTCGATCAAAGCTCCTCAAACAACGTGGGGTAGCAACACCCACTCCCAAAAGCGACGCATGGGCAACAAACGCACAAGCAAACGCCAGTGGTGCCACATCATGGGCCGGCGGAAGGAGCAAAGCGATTAAATAAGGGGGGCCCCAGCTTCAAGTTACCCCCCCCCTCCCTTCCCAAGGGGGGGGGGCTTCTGGAGCTACCCCCCCTCCCTTCTGCAAGGGTTTCTAAACTAGGGGGGCACTGGCTATAGGGGGGGGGCTTCGAAGCTCCCCCCCTCACTCCCTCCCTTCTTCCGGAGCAGCAGGTGAGCCCGGGCTTCCCTTTCAAAGGGGGGGGCGTCGGAAGCTACTCCCCCCCTCCTTCCGTTTTTGGTCTGGACACAGGGGGTGAGCGGCTACCCCTCTCCGCCCTCCTTTGCAAAGGGGTGGGGGGGCTTCCGAAGCTACCCCACCCCCTCTCTTCCGGGGTTATGGCAAAACGGCTGAATCCCTGCAGACAGGTGCGCACCGCAGCGCTAGAGAACGCATTGGAGAATAACGTCGACCCCTGCTTCGTTTTCATGTTTTCTTGTTTTCTCGGCCCCTGGTTCGTAGTCTCGCTTTCTCGGGTCCTGATTCCGTTTATCGTTTTCTCGTGTTCTCGGCCCCTGTTTCGTTTTCTTGTTTTCTCGTGTTTTCGGTCCCTGGGTCGCGGTCTCGTTTCCTCGGACCCTGGTTCGTGTTCTCGTTTTCTCGTTTTCTCGGCCCCTGGGTCGTGGTTCCGTTTTCTCAGACCCTGCTTGGTGTTCTAGCTTTCTCGTTTTCTCGGCCCCTGGGTCGTGGTTGTGTTTTCTCGGACCCTGGTTAGTAGTCTCGTTTTCTCGTTGTCTCGGTCTCCAGGTGATAGTCTGGTTTTCTCTGACCCTGCTTCATTTTCTATGTTCCTCGTTTTCTCGGCTCCTGGGTCGTGTTTTTGTTGTCTCGAACCAAGCGTTTTCTGGTGATCTCGGCCCTTGGGTCGTGGTTTCATCGGACCCTGGTTCGTTTTCTCGCTCTCTCGTGCTCTCGGCCCCTGGGTCGCAGGTCGTTTTCGCGTTGTCTCCTTTCCTCGGCCCCTGGGCCGTGGTCTCGTTTTCTCGGGGCCTGGTTCGTTGTCTTGTATTCTTGTTTTCCCGGCCCCTGGTTCGTAGTCGCGTTCTCTCGGCCCTGATTCCTTCTACCGTTTCCTCGGTTCCTCGGCCCGTGGGTAGTGGTCGTGTTTTCTCGGGCCCTGGTTCGTTTTTGCGTGTTCTGTCCTTGGGTCGTTGTTTCGTTTGCTCGGACGCTGGTTCGTTTTGCCGCCTTCTCGTATTCTCGGCCCCTGGGTCGTGGTCTCGTTTTATCGGACACTGGTTCGCTGTCTCGCTTTCGCGATGTCTCGGCTTCTGGGTTATCGTGTCGTTTTCTCGGACCCTGGTTCGTGGTCCCGTGTTCTTGTCTTCTCGGCCCCTGGGTCGTGGTTTCGTTTCCTCGGACCCTGCTTCGTTTCCTTGTTTCTCAGCCCCTGGGTCGTGACCTCGTTTTCTCTGACCCTGGGTCGTAATCTCGTTTTCTCGGCCCCTGGATCGTGGTCCCGTTTCCTCGGACCAAAAGTAGGTTTCTCGTGTTCTCCGTTTCTCGGCCCCTGGATTGTGATTGTGCTTTCTCTGACCCTGGTTCGTGTTCTCGTGCTCTCGTTTTCTCTGCCCCTGGGTCGTGGTTATGCCTTCTCGGACCCTGGTTCGTTTTCTCGTTTTCTCGGGCCCCTTGGTCGTAGTCTCGTTTTCTCGGACCCTGGTTCGCTGTCCCGTTTTCGCGATTTTTCGGCCCCTGTGTCGTGGTCTCGGTGTTTCGGGCCACGTTTAGTTGTCTCGGTTTCTCGTTTTCTCGGCCCTTGGGTGATTGTCTCGTTATCTCGGGCGCTGGTTTGCTCTCTTGTTTTATCGTTTTCTCGGCCCCTGGGCCGTGGTCTCGCTTTCTCTGACCCTGATTGTTTGTCGTGTTGTCTTGATTTCTCGGCCCCTGGATCGTGGTGCAGTTTTCTCGGCCCCTGGTTAGTTGTCGTGTTCTTGTTTTCTCGGCCCCTGGGTCGTGGTCCAGTGTTCTCTGATCCTGGTTCGTTTCCTCGTTTTCGCGCTTTCTCTGCCCCTTGGTCGTGGTATCGTTGTCTCTGACCCCGTTTCGTTTTCTCGGTTTATCGTTTTCTCGGTTCCTGGGTTGTGGTCTTGTCTTCTCGGGCACTCGGTCGGTTTCTCGTGATCTCCGTTTCTCGGCCCCTTGATTGTGGTTTTGTTTGCTCTGACCCTGCTTCGTGGTCTCGTTTTCTTGTCTTCTCGGCCCCTGGATCGTGGCCTCATGTTTTCTCGGACCCTGGTTTGTTTTCTCGATTTCTCGTGATCTCGGCCTCTGGGTCGTGGTTTCGTTTCCTCGGACCCTGCTTCGTTTCCTTGTTTCTCAGCCCCTGGGTCGTGACCTCGTTTTCTCTGACCCTGGGTTGTAATCTCGTTTTCTCGGCCCCTGGATCGTGGTCCCGTTTCCTCGGACCAAAGTTCGGTTTCTCGTGTTCTCCGTTTCTCGGCCCCTGGATTGTGATGTTGCTTTATCTGCCCCTGGTTCGTGTTCTCGTGCTCTCGTTTTCTCTGCCCCTGGGTCGTGGTTATGCCTTCTCGGACCCTGGTTCGTTTTCTCATTTGCTTGTTTTCTGGGCCCCTGGGTCGTGGTCTCGTGTTCTCTGACCCTGGGTCGTGTTCTCGTTTCTTGGTTTCCCGGCCCATGGGTCGTGGTCAAGTTTTTCCGGGCCCTGGTTAGTTGTCTTGTTGTCTCGGCCCCTGGGTCGTGGTCTAACGCTGGTTTGTGTTCTCGTTTTCTCGTTTTCTCGGCCCCTGGGTCGTAGTCTCGTTTGTTCGGGCTCTGATTCCTTTTATCGTTTTCTCGTTTTCTCGGCCCCTGGGTGGATCTCGTTTTCTCGGACGGTTTTCTCGGCCTGGGTCGTGGTCTCGTGTGCTTGGACCTTGGTGCGGTTTCTCGTGTTCTCGGCCACTGGGTCGTTATCTCGTTGTCTCGGGCCCTGGTTCGTCGTCTCGATTTCTGGATTTCTCGGCTTCTGGGTTTTTGTTTCGTTTTCTCGGGCCCTGGTTCGTTTTCTCGTTTTCTCGTTTTCCCGTTTTCTCGGCCCCTGGGTCGTGTTCTCGTTTTCTCAGGCCCTGGTTCGTTTTCTCGTTGCCTCATTTTCTCGGCCCCTGGGTCGTGGTCTCGTTTTTTCGGTCCCTGGTTCGTTTTCTCGTTGTCTCGTTTTGTCGGCCCATGGGTCGTGGTCTCGGATTCTCGGACCCTGGTTCGTTTTCGCGTTTTCTCTGCCCCTGGGTCGTGGTCTCGTTTGTCGGACCCTGGTTCGTTGTTTCGGTCCCTGGTGCGTTTTCTCGCTTTCTCGTTTTCTTGGCTCCTGGGCCGTGGTCTCGTTTTCTCTGACCTTCCTCGTTTTCTCGGCCCCTGGGTCGTGGTCTCGTTTTCTCTGACCCTGGATCGTCGTCGGTCGTCGGTCGTGCGTCGTCCGTCGTCCGTCGCCGTCTTCGTATGACCTCGTCCTCGTCGTGACGACCACGACGGTCATACGAAGACGGTGACAATGACGGCGACAGTGACGACGACGACGAGGACGACGACGGCGTCGCACGAAGACGTCGAGCGAAGGCGACGGCAACGACGACGGCGACGGGGGAGGATCGTCCAGCAGGGGGAGTTCAAGGGAGGGGGGTGGTAGCTAAGCCGCCCCTCCCCTTTTGGAAAGGGGGGGAGGGGAGGGGAGCTTCTGGCAGGGAGGAGAAAAATGGAGGGAAGGGAGGGGGCTTCCGGCTGAGGGGGGTCAAAGGAGGGGGGAGTAGCTAAGCTCCCCTCCCCTTTCGTAAGAGGGGCAGGGGGGGGAGCTTCCCGGGTGCCGAAAGGGAGGGAGGGGGGAGGGGGCTGCTAAGCCCCCCCTATAAAACCAAAGGGGGGAAGGGCGGGGGGAGCTTCCGGCAGAGGGGGGTCAAGGGGAGGGGGGGGTAGCTAAGCCCCTCCTCCCTTTGGACAACAAGGGGGGAGGGGGGGGTAGCTTCGGAGTGGCGAAAGGAGGGGAGGGGGGGTAGCTTCAGGGGGGAGGCGAAAAAGGGGGGGAGGGGGGGGGAGCTTCCAGCAGGGGAGGTGGAAGGAAGGGGGGGGTAGCTAAGGGGGGACCCCCACCGCCTTGGCTCCGGCGCTGTGGGCGCGCTCTCTCGAGCGTACGCACCTGCACGCGTGCGCTAAGTCTGCCAACGAGTGTTGGGCTGCAGAAGGTCCTGAAATTGCCGCCTGGCTGGGTCCAGTGCAGAGGAAGGCAACCATGGAGAGCGTGCAAGTCACGTCGAGTGCTCTGCGGTTGGACAGGGTAATACTCTCCAAGGGGCCCACAGCCCTCAATCCCGGGGCTTGGGGGCTGTGCCCGTGTGACATTCCCGGATGCAAGAGGTCCCCCAAACTGCCTGAGAGGACCCCACAGCGCCCCGGGGCCCGAGTCGGCCAAACATCGCCCCAAGACGCCCAAGATAGCCTCCGGACGGCCAGACGGCCCACGAGGGCCCCAAGACGCCCCAAGAGAGGGGTCCGAGAGGCCCCCCAAGAGGGCGCCACTAACTCCCCTTCGAGTTTAGCGCTCTCGCCTGTTCGAGCTTTCGACGCTCCAGCGCGGCCCAAGAGGCCCCCAAGCTCGCCCCCAAAACGCCCCCAAACGCCCCGAAGAGGGCTCCCCGACGGTCCAAAGAGACCCGAAGACGGCCCAAGAGGCCCCCAAGACGGACCAACACAACACACAAAGGACTCCAAGAAGGGGAACTCGAACTGACATGTCGCGGCCTCCGCCCCAAGATGATCCCCGAGACCGCCAGCAGGTCTCCAAAAGGCCCCCTTGAAGCCCCCGAGAGGCGCAAATCAGGCCCCAAGACGGCTCCAAAGAGGCCCCCAAGCAACCCCAAGACATCCCGATGGGGGAGGTGGAGGGAGGGGACGGCAAAGGCAAAGGTTGGGGAGGTTGGAGGGGCATCTGTGCAAAAAAGGCCGATGGAGCGTCGGCGACCATCTAGGCACACGAGCGATGTGGCGGAGATCTTGCCACTCTCGGCTCGCAGACGCTGCCCGCCTCTCTCCGCGTCCTTCTCCCTCGTCCTCCTCCTGCTGCTCCTCCTCCTCCTGCTCCTCCTCCTCCTCCCTTCCTTCTCATCATCATCATCATCATCATCATCATCATCATCATCATCATCATCATCATCATCATCATCATCATCATCATCATCATCATCATCATCATCATATCATCATCATCATCATCATCATCATCATCATCATCATCAGCATCAGCATCAGCATCAGCATCAGCATCATCATCATCAGCAGCAGCAGCAGTAGCACCATCATCAGCATCACCATCATTATCATCATCACCACCCTCATCATCATCAGCACCCGCATCAGCATCAGCATCAGCATCAGCATCAGCATCATCATCATCATCATCATCATCATCATCATCGTCATCATAATCACCACCCTCATCATCATCATCAGCATCAACATCACCCTCATCATCATCATCATCATCAGCATCAGCATCAGCATCATCATCATCATCATCATCAACACCAGCATCAACATCACCCTCATCATCATCATCATCATCATCATCATCATCATCATCATCATCATCATCATCATCATCATCATCATCATCATCATCCCCCTTCCCCTTCCCCTATTGCCTGGCGTACGCGCGCGCCCGCCGACGCTCCTCCGAGCCTACGTCTCCCACGCCCATCAGACCTGAACCTTTCTCTGTGTCAGCGGGGGGGGAGATATGCCGCCGAACATCGGGGATCGAGGTTGCTGACAGGCTGCGTCACTTGACGACAGGAAGTGGGAGAAGAAGAGGGGCAAACGAGAAGGCACAAGAGGAGAAACAACTGGAGGGTAAGGCCCTAAGATACCGAGCTGTGGCGAAGCGCAGCAGCGCCAGGTGGCCAGACGAATGACGAGATGATCCAAACAGTGCCTGCACTCAGGGGGTCTTACTTCTCTTGCTTAGGCACGTGGTTGGCAATGCAAGGTGTTCGCGACACTTTTCCCCCGTGACGCCGCGTGGTCGCCGCGTGGGCGCCCCGTGCGCTGGGTGGCTTTCCCGAGGCTGCGCCGCGCTGCCGCCCGTGCCGCCACGAGGGCGCGCCTCGTCGGCGCCCCGCGCGCTGGGGGAATTGGGGGGGGGGCGGTGTGCCGAGGTTCAAGGGGCCCAAGGAAACACACATAGATACACACAAATAAAAGGATGCCCCATATTTTCCCATATGTTCTGGGTTTCTGTCTTCCCGCCCAACTCCCATAGTTTCCCATATTTTCTGGGGAGTCGAGGATTAATTGTGTCTGTGTGTGCTTTTTCCCTCCTGAGAGGTTGCGCCGCGTTGTCGCCGGTGCTGCCTCGTGGGCGCCCCGTGCTCTGGGGAAGGTTTCCCGAGGTTGCCACGTTGCCGCCTGTGCCGCCTCGTGGGCGCCCCGTGTTCTGAGCTTACACGACACATCTTCACCACATAGCTTACCCCATATAGCTTCAATCAATTATGCTGAACAACATGTATTACATTACATAGCTTAGCTTACACACCATACATTCCACCTCCAGTTCACATCGCCTAGCTTACACGACACACCTTGCATTGCCGAGTTCCCCAGCGAAAGGGAAGATGCGCTCCAACACGCCCCCCCACAGGGCCAGCTGGCATGTTGGGGCGTCATAGAATGTCCAGAGCTGCCTGGCAGGAGTTCTGTAATCTTCCAAGGGCACCCCCCTCGGGAAGCGCTTATATGCATGCAGTGGCCCTTCCTTTTCCGAGGCCCCCTAGGCTGCCTCACACCTCCCCAGCGCTCTCCAAGGCGTCCAGGAGGCCTAAAATAGTTTCCAAGGCGGCCAAGGCCGCCACTATTGCCCAAAAGCGCTCGAGGACAGCCCAAGATGGCCCCAAGACGGCGCAAGAGGCCTTCGAGACGTCCGAAGAGAGCCCGAAGAGCCTTCCCAAACAGATCCTTCCCAAACGCTCCTCGAGAGACAAACATCCGCTACCTTCAATGATGTTTTCCCTGGTTTGGGGGTTCTCGCCTTTTCGAGCTTCCGATGTCCCAAGACGGCCCAGGAGGACCCCAAGAGAAACCCAAGACGGCCGAAGAGGCCCCCACGAGGACCCCAAGACGGCCCAAAGGGCTCCAAGACGGCCCACGAAGCCCCCAAGACTGTCTAAGAGGACCCCAAGACGGCCCAAAGAAGAGCCCTGGAGGGCCCGGCCCCAAAACGGCCCGAAAGAGCCGCTCAGGGCCCACCACGAGCCTGGCTCACAGGAGACCAAGACAGCCACAAGACGGCCCAAACGAGTTCCATGAGGGCTCCTCAACTAGTGAAGACGAAAGGTATCGAACTCTTCCTCCTCTTATTCCTCTTTCTCCTGCTCCTCCTCCTCCCCGTCCTCCTCTTCCTCCTCCTCCTCCTCCTCCTCCTCCTCCTCCTCCTCCTCCTCCCCCTCCCCCCTTCCCCTCCCCCTCCTCAATCACATCGTCCTCACCATCCTCATCCTCGTCCTCATCTTCCTCTTCCGCCTTGTCCTCAGCATCACCATACCACACCACCACCAGCATCAGCATCAGCATCAGCATCAGCATCAGCATCAGCATCAGCATCAGCATCATCATCATCATCATCATCATCATCATCATCATCATCATCATCATCATCATCATCATCATCATCATCATCAGCATCAGCATCAGCATCATCATCATCATCATCATCATCATCATCATCATCATCATCATCATCATCATCATCAGCATCAGCATCAGCATCAGCATCAGCATCATCATCATCATCATCATCATCATCATCATCATCATCATCATGATCGTCATCATCATCATCACCATCATCATCATCACCATCATCACCATCATAGCCATCACCATCACCGTCGTCATCAGCAGCATCATGACTGGCATCAGCAGCATGATCGACATCAGCATCAGCATCATCATCATCAGCATCATCATCACGTTCGTCATTAACGTTATCGTCATCATCATCATCATCATCATCATCATCATCATCATCATCATCAGCATCAGCATCAGCATCAGCATCATCATCATCATCATCACCACCATCATCATCATCATCATCAGCATCATCATCATCATCATCACCACCACCACCACCACCACCACCATCATCATCATCATCAGTATCATCATCACCACCATGGCTCCCCCGAGCCTGCGGACAAGAGGTGGCGCACGTGACGGCCTCCCGTGCCCCCTCGAACAGTCACCGCCCAGACTGCTGGGCTGGCACAGCGGCGGGAATTGCAACAGGTGGCTGCATGCATTTGGATACACTCCGCCACCCTCCCCCACCCCGGGGTTAACGATACGCACTGGAACACCTTAACTTACGGATGGTTCTGCCCCATCCTTCGCTTTCCGTATGAACTCAGACCACGCCCGCCAGGCCGGTACCGACACCCCCATTCACCCCTGTTAAGTAGCGCTGGTTATACTATGCGCGCGCGCCCGTGCATCCCGAAAGGTGGTTGATCAATGGTACTTGCGCAACACATGCGCGCACAAGTCAAGACCATACCAAGCACACTCGTCTGAACACGCTTTCAACATAGCAACGTTAGAAGCATGTATGGCTCATCAGAAAATTACCCTGTGACGTACCCAACCCATTTGTGACATGGGAAACGAGGAGTTGGCCGAAACTTGCATGGACAATCAAATTGCAGGATCCGTTGTTTGATATGTAAGCTACTTAGGACACGCGCCCATGGCATGATGCGCAGGAGAACCATACAAGAACGAGGGGCGACAACTGCAGGCTCGAAGAGGACATGGGGAGTCGGGAACGAAGAGCAGGAGAAAGACGTGCGGGAAGCCCACTGTGCTGGGCCCCCCAGCAGGCCTCGAAAGTGGCGACAGTTTCACAGATCGCAGCCCCCCAGGGATGGCGAGGTCTAATTTGAATCCGCGGTGACTACCCACTGTGCTGGGCCCCCAGCAGGCCTCGAAAGTGGCGACAGTTTCACAGATCGCAGCCCCCCAGGGATGGCGAGGTCTAATTTGAGTCTGCGGTGGGTACCCACTGTGCTGAGCCCCCCAGCAGGCCTCGAAAGTGGCGACAGTTTCACAGATCGCAGCCCCCCAGGGATGGCGAGGTCTATTTTGGTCCGCGGTGTGTACCCACTGTGCTGGGCCCCCCAGCAGGCCTCGAAAGTGGCGACAGTTTCACAGATCGCAGCCCCCCAGGGATGGCGAGGTCTAATTTGAATCCGCCGTGTGTACCCACTGTGCTGGGCCCCCCAGCAGGCCTCGAAAGTGGCGACAGTTTCACAGATCGCAGCCCCCCAGGGATGGCGAGGTCTAATTTGAGTCCGCGGTGGGTACCCACTGTGCTGGGCCCCCCAGCAGGCCTCGAAAGTGGCGACAGTTTCACAGATCGCAGCCCCCCAGGGATGGCGAGGTCTAATTTGAATCCGCGGTGGGTACCCACTGTGCTGGGCCCCCCAGCAGGCCTCGAAAGTGGCGACAGTTTCACAGATCGCAGCCCCCCAGGGATGGCGAGGTCTAATTTGAATCCGCGGTGAGTACCCACTGTGCTGGGCCCCCCAGCAGGCCTCGAAAGTGGCGACAGTTTCACAGATCGCAGCCCCCCAGGGATGGCGAGGTCTAATTTGAGTCCGCGGTGTGTACCCACTGTGCTGGGCCCCCCAGCAGGCCTCGAAAGTGACAGCACAGATCGCAGCCCCCCAGGGATGGCGAGGTCACAGATGTGCTGGGCCCCCCAGCAGGCCTCCCAGTTTCACAGATCGCAGCCCCCCAGGGATGGCGAGGTCTAATTTGAATCCGCCGTGTGTACCCACTGTGCTGGGCCCCCCAGCAGGCCTCGAAAGTGGCGACAGTTTCACAGATCGCAGCCCCCCAGGGATGGCGAGGTCTAATTTGAATCCGCCGTGTGTACCCACTGTGCTGGGCCCCCCAGCAGGCCTCGAAAGTGGCGACAGTTTCACAGATCGCAGCCCCCCAGGGATGGCGAGGTCTAATTTGAATCCGCCG